TTTGTAATATTTTCTTTTAATAGCAAACAAAAAACAGACTTTTATGCTTTTTTTTGTCTGATTGTGTATCTTACTTTTCTATCTTTATATTAACGATGTTTTTTCTTGTACGAAAGAACCGCAATCTAACTTATTGTTAGTCGGGCACGACGAGTTGTGCAGGCAAAATCGAAGAAATTATTTATTTACTCTTTCTCTCTCTCTCTCTCTCTCTCTCTCTCTCTCTCTCTCTCTTCGGCATATCGGAAGTTACGCGTACGCACGCGTAATCTTTAGAATCAACAAATTGTTAATTTTCATGTATGATATAATTTTCGACGTATTACTTTTGAAATATAAAAGATATATGTACATACATGTACGTAACATATACATAATTACATTATATACACTATCTTTTTATTATAAAATAAATACAATAAATTTACATTAGATACAAATATTCGACGGATCTCATCAAAGTAAACACAGTTCGTATCATGTGAATATAAAAATTAATCGCTACATTGCTTTTCGCGTACATATCGCAATGTGTCGATATAGGTAGAAGTGCTCTGCAGAAATATATGTATACATATAATTTGCAACTATGTATTAATTCGACGTAAATTATGCGGAATTTTGCGATTCAATGAATTATGCGAATCGCAACTTCTATACTCTGAATTCCTCGCTTTAAATTATAGACAATCTGTCGCAGCAACGAGGTTTTAATGTCCGAGTTTTAAAAAAGTTTGTACAACATCAAATCGGTGTTGGAAAATCCAAAAAATATTTGTTTCTTTTCAAATACAATGTGAAATCTGTGAATCAAATCTTTTAGTAACCGACAGAAATATCAAGTGTAAAATTTGCTATTACACGACGTCTGCTTTTTTCGCGCGTAATCAGGATTTCCTTTTCGCGCCGGAAACCTCAGCGATCCGAAACCGGTGGATTTGATTACTGACCCAGTGGCACCATTAGCAGCTTAATGTGCATCCTCAGCGCTCCTTGGCGTTTCAAAAACTCCCGGTTTTCGTCCCGACAAAATAGATCGTTTTTGATATATTTCTGGCTGTAAAAAAATGAGGATGGAGGACTGCATCTTGAATCTTCAAAAATGAACACTGAGGCAAGCTGAAACGTGGTTTCAGCTTTGTTTGGCGAGAGAAACAGTTTTTACGATAAGTGACAGCGCAAGAAAGAAATTGCAAATAAAACGTATCTTTAGCGAGATCATGTTCATGAAAATGAGTCAAAGCGGAGAAATATAAGACTAACTTCTACGACAAGCTGTATCTACTTTTCCGAGATTTAGTATGTCTCGTTTATGCAGAAGAACACAATGACACCGGATAAACCGGAAATGTTAAAAAAATATATATATATATATATATATATATATATATATATAATTCATTTCCATTCTGCAGGATGAGAAAGTTCCTCGTTTATATGCGTTATTAACTCAATTAATGCGGCGCACATATATATGCACACATTAATAATCCCTCGAAGCAATCCACTCGCCGTTTGCATCATTGAAACGTGTATCTTTTTACCGCAGACCGGATGCTCTGTCGCGACGGTCCGTGGAAAAATTGCAGCGTCGGAAAAGTGTGTTACTCGGGACCAGGGGAGGATCTTGCCGCGCGAAAGAAACAAGGTCTTTTCCAGAAACAATTTCTTGCGAGAGCGCGCGGTTGGTCGTGAAAACACGAAGAAAACAACCGCACGGAGCATTTTCGTTCGTAGCAGTTTTAGATATGATTAAAAATGAAGTTGAGCAGTAAGAAAATAAATACCTTCCATTACCGTAATCCCGGAAATGGTGGAACGTTGTTCGCGCTGCGAGATTACATTAGGGGAAATATCCTCGAACTATCGTAACTGTTTTCGAGCATGTACCTCCGGGTTTTAGTTAAGACGTCGGACAGCGCTGCTGCGACGTATCTTTTTCATTTGGAAAAACGTGGAAAAAGAGAGCGAAGTCTGTGCAAATATTTATAGTACTTTGAATTACAGCAGAATGTGTTAAACAAATCCAAGTGTAGAGCAGTTGATTAACTCGGTTGACTTGACCGTAGATTTTTCCTAACAAAGTTCGTAGTCAGCTGATAACAATGTATACTGAAGAAACACCATTATGCGCGTTACATGAAGTACTCCGGGTCGGGGATAGATGTAGAAGAACTTAGTTTCTGCCTATCCAAATATTTGCGCATTTCAGTTCCCGGCGATCATCCTGACGTGATAAAGAATATCCGTTAAAGCTTATTGCGCCATTACGTAACACAGCAATTATATTAACACCGATCTCACAAATACAAATTACGTGGGAGAAGAGTGGGGGAGATGTTCATGCTTCATTATTTCTACTAGTCTCCGGTAAATAAATTGCGTGAGTAATAAATCGTTCCGACGAGTTTTCAACGTTCGCGCGCGCGCTCGCGGTAGAAAAGTATAATGAAATTGACCGTAAATCGCGGCGATTCCACGTATGGCCGATAATTTGCAGCTGATAAAATCTCATGCTCCATAATATATCCGCCAATAATCCACATCTATTGAACGCGCGGTAAAGTATTAAGCAGTCGTGCTAAGCCGAAGAAGAAAAAAGCGTAGAATTACGACAGGATAAATCGCAGATTACTTGCGTGGCGAACAATTTGCGCTCGTCGATTTTATCGACGAAACACGCTCTTCCAGGTGTGCGTGCGTGTTTGTGCATGTGTGGGGAAGCCGTTGCCGCGATCACCTCGTCGCTAATGTACGCACTTCCGGCGACGGGTTAATCCAGCCGTGGATCGGTCCGCGAATATGCAGCCCATTAAATGTCAAGCGAGTCGAACGCGGAGCGGCTGAAAATTGATTTCCTGCCGTCAAAGAAAAGTGGTAGATGCGCGAGAATCCGTGCGGGTCGTTCGTATAAGCGATGGAAGTCATTCAGATATTCGTGTGACGTCGCGTCAATAAATTATTTTTCAGAAATGCAGTTGGGAGAAGACACGGCGCTGCGCGGAGTGAGTTTTCGACCCAGATTTTATTTATTTATTTTTTTTTTTTTTTTTTTATTTTTTCCTATCGCGTAAATAATTTGTTTTCCTTACATTTATAATTCATTTAAAACTGCGACAACTCATCGATCGCCGGATCTTCAAATATAATCGAAGAGATACGGAATCAATTGTGAAACACTCGGAACACTTGTGGAATATTCATTTGAGAATATCGCCTCGCTGCTCGCATGTCGGTACAAAGATCGCCGGTAATTGCTCCGGTTTGCTTTTCCGTGCAACATCGGCGATTAAATGTCGCTAATACGGGAAACCCATCGCTTCGAACTTACCATTCTCTCCACGACGACGTGCGCGCACACACACACACACACACATCCTTTGTAGCAACCGCAATTTATGCAAATCGAATACGATTGCCGATTCGACAACACGAGAAAGGAGAGGACAGATTGGTTGCAATTTGTTATTAACTAAATCCGCGATGCACTCGATTCTTGCGGAATAAATCGGTTTCTCGTCCGTTTTTCTTTTTTTTCCTACTGTGAGTACACGTAGTTGAGAATGCTGTCGAAATGCGCTTTGCATAAAAAACGCAAGTTAAGCTGTTTCAATGCCATATGTGCCGTCAACGTCTCAATTAAAACAAATAACGACAGACGTCTCGTTTAAGTACCAATCCAGTTATTTTCGTCTATTTGTGTTTGTTTAGTAACTGAGAAAAGCACGTAACTCTTGCAGTTTATTTTTTAAACAATTACGCGCCATATAATTTGAATAAAAATTAAAGAGGAAAAGTGTTCTTGCAATATATTTAACATTATTTTTGTGGCAGAAGATTTATATCGTAATATTTGAGCTTTATAAATTTGAAAATGGCGAGTTTTCGAGTTCAAATAAATAAATCAAGAAAAATATGTGTATGGAAAAAGTTGCATCGTGTTTCGACTCCTCGGAAACTTTTCGATGATGCTCAGTGCTCGAAAATCGAAGCTTTCATTAAAAACTTACGGAAACTAGTCGGGTTTCGCGCTCGCACGAGCGAAATTAATTTGTTTCTTGCCGCAATGCGAGCGATATTATGGGAACTGGCACGAACCACCGTCGTCCCCTGTAGTTCCGAGACGCGGATTAATAAAAAATCGTTTCCAGAATTGCCTTCTCATATCGACAAATCTATAACCTCGTTTAATTTATATCAATCATGTGAAATAATACATGTTTTCCGGTTGCAATTAAGGTACGTCGAGATCTTGCAAACTAGATGAATGTTATTTTGTTCGATATATCGTCATATGTGATACGGTCAAAAGTTCATCGTAATTTTAAAATAACCATCTGTTTTTACTCTGTCTTTTGATAGAAACGACCATATTGACCGATGCAATGTAAAATATGTAAATTTACGTTACAATAAGTTCTCTAGTATGATTTCTTGAGGAAAAAGAATAAACATTTTCAAGTACTCTCAATAATTATACAATTTTTTTAATTATAAATAAATAAATTTCAAAATTTTTACAAAAAATCTATTTTACATAAATTTATATAAAAAGTAAATTTTTAACAAGTTTGTGTTACTAATTTGAAAGAAAGTTTCCGGATTCGACATTTCAACAATATTGAAGAACTTTACCACAAGTATGCAAATGCTTCTCGACACATGTTGACTTCAAAAGTAACTTCCTCTCGTTGCAAGGGCAAATCTCGGTGTAACTGACCGGAATTAAAATTCGCTAACCTGCAACGCGCTTTGTGTATGTGTGTGATCCCAAAAGAGTTATTTCGAGAAGCGAAATTCTTGACGTTCTGATAAAATAAGATCAAAACATTGCACAGCTGATCTGAATAAAAATTTACGAACTTGTTAATTTATCAAAAATTTTGAGCATTTTATGAACCGTTATTAGAAACACAGAAATCTTTACGATTGCAACGTGATTGTGTAGTAAAAATCAGTTTTTTTTCTATCAACAATCTAAAATGAGATAATTTGCAAACCTGCAGCGCTAATCCTGGAGGACTTTCACACATCTCTAGGACAATACGATGACGACGTTGTTGTAACACGCCCGATGAACAATAATGCCGACATTGCTTATCTCACCCTTCGTTGAGAATGCACGTGATTCGACGATCCGGACACAAGTACCGGACGCGACCGTACGGACTGAGAGACGCCGGTAAACTGATCGGGATCCTGATGGGCCTTCCTCCGCGGAGGAGACCTCCGGGTGCAGGATGAGGCGCGCAAACTCGCCGCGAGCGCGAGCGCAAGCGGGAGACCGCGGTAAAACGAGTTTAGAGAAAGCGAGAGGGAGAAGCTGGAGGAGGCATGGCCGAGCCTGATTTAATCGCAAAGGCGGCAGGACATCACTGCGCGGGTGTGTGTCGCTTCAAAGGATAAAAAGCTCCGGTAATTTGCACCCACAAACCAGGATAAACGAAGAAGACAATCCGCAGATATCAGCGAGATCGCGTATACATCAAAGATTACAGGAATATATGCGATAGACGATGTTGATAAAGATAGTGAAAAATATATAGTTCAATCTTACAGTAAATCAAATGTCAATGTGTGTTTTGTATAAACAAAAATTATTGATATTTTCATGTTATTGTAATGTCGTTAGCATTTCAAGGGCTCATTTTTTATCAAAATGCATTATCGATTCCGTATTTCGCCTTTGGCCGTTCGTGCTGTGTTACTGTTATCGAGATCTTTCGAGGTCCCGAAAAAGTTTGTACGTCGTTTTGTTGATCGATGAGCGCGGCCTTTATATTCGGGGGCAAAAGACGCGACGTTGATATTAACTTCCCGAGGAACTTTTTAATTTTTGTTCGATTGATATCGGCCGCCCTTGTGCAGTTTGTTGAAAGGTGAATAAAGGTCGAAATGAGTAATGATGCCACCATGAATGCAACAATGGAAATATTTTGCTAACAAAAGGTTCACAAAAAAGAAAAACAATAGAATTTAATTAAATAACAATACTATCTGAAATATGTTTAACAAATACGCGAATATTTAAATAAAATTTGTTTAGTATCTTTTTCATATTTTTGTGATGTTGCTTGAAAATATACCGTAAAAACATGTGCTCATTTATATAACTCATTTCTTTTTTTTTTCTTTTTTTAGTCTCAAGTTCAGAAATTTGTTGTTTGTAAAGATTGTGTGAAAGACAAAAGAAAACTTTTCCAGTTAAAGAGTCAGAAACGATGGAAAGTTTGAGAAGCTCTTCGGCCTGTGACAATTGAGGAATTACTTCAATGCGCTGTTTTGCTTCTCGATGTCCGCGCGAAGAATGATTTAAGTTTATCCTTCAACAGAGAATTTTGTCCGCGAAGTAACTTATGTGCAGTTTCTAATCTTGTGTATTTCGTTATTTTGTTTATAATCCTTTTAAAGTTGCAAAACTAGTGGTACCTGTATCGAGTCCAGCTGTCACTTTAAGTGTAACATGATATGTTTTCACGAGTAATTGAAGAATTTGAAGCCAAAGCCTATTTACTCAAAATTGATGAAAATCATCATTTGTTGTTGAATATTTTGGATTTAAGCAAATATTAAGAATTTAAAATATTTCTATTTAAACTTTCAGTTTCTAATAAGAAATGGGATTAGTTACTAGGTCTGATATTGTTTTATTAATCAATATCGATTATAATTCGAAAACAAATCTTTTACATCTATCGTCTTTATTTAGTTACTTATCGTTGCTAACAGGCAGCTAGTTACTTCGGATAGTCTGTCAATATACGAATTTTTTTCTCTCATCCGATCAGAACAATAGCTCGCGGTCAATCCAAGAAATAAACTAGTTCGCGAAGCACAAAAGTAGATGCGGAGTGCAACGAGCGAGGATCTCCAGTAGATACGGTAATTGAATCGACCTTTATCGCTGTGATGTTGAGAGCATTGTTCTCCGGTATCTTCTATTGGATAGCGAGATTTGGTGCGTTCCCATGATTACCGTCACGGTGTGGGGTAAAGGTATCAAAGGCGTCCTCGTTTGAGGATGCGATGGCAATGGTGTTACATTTCCTCCTGAGCACTGCACGCACGTTCGCGATTTCGCATTCAATTTAGGAATACTTTGCAACAAGCTTTATAGAGCAACGTCGATTCACTATTCGCTGATTTCGTTTGCATCTACTGATAAATGAGACAGAACATTTTGATGCTTAGAAATGCGCAAAACATATAGTTTTGCAAATATATATTTTCAATTATTGTATCTGTTATTACATAAAAATATTACAACGCAAACAAAGATATTATTTTGAAAACTATTAAATATATATTTCATATATTACAGTAAAAAATGCAGTTATAGCAAAACATTGCGAGAAAAATAGTTTAAAAAATTCTTTATAATTTCGGTATAAAGAATTTGCATGTATATCGCACATTCGCCATCTTTTTTCGCGAGATCGGAATTAACTTTGCTATTATTTAGAAGCGTTCGACAAGCTAACCTACGTGACGTCTATGAAAAAAGCGAGAACCTGCGTTTGCTGTTGAAAATCACTTTGCCTTGGATCGAGTATAGATCGAACGACGGGTTAAGTGAAAAATGAGTTTGTAGCAGAAGAAGGATAAAGGAGGGTAAGAGCAACTAAGTGAAAAATGAAACAAAGCTAAATTTGTTTGTTCCAAAAATCTAAGGACGCGCAAAGAAAAGGTTTCATCTCGAAAGAGACGCGCATCTTGATGTTCCCGGTCCGGACGAAAATTCGATACAAGTTGCGAACGCAAAACCGGCGACGTTTATCTCGGTGTGCTTCTCTCGAGAAACTCTGATTATCCAAAAAGTCGTAATCGCGTTAGCGCGCAGCTAAGAACCGTGTCATTGCCGCCTGAAAATTAGAAAATCGTGAGCTTTCAAGGATGTACTTTCTTATAAGAAGAGCAGAGCGCGAAAGAGAAAGAGGTCGATCTATTCTTTAAGAATGCATTTTATAAAGAAGCAGTTGTGTATGGTGTTTTCTTGAAGAACTCCATAATTACCACGATCATGTAAGGACCAGGAAAAGTCACTATTGGAAGAATCTAATTTTCCTTAATTGTTCTTAAGACATGAGATTTTCATTTTAAAAACATAATAAATTTTAATTGTAACAAAATATGCAAATATTGACTTGTTTATTTATCGTGCCTCGACACGTAACACAGAATTTTTAAATTATACTCGAAATATATTATTTACCTTATTCGCCTTAGACGTGTTTTGTATGTCACTTTTTCAATACTCTAAAAACCAATTAAAAATGTATTGAAACTTTAATGAAACTTTCTTCTACGTCTCTGCGTTTTGTTCTGCTTTCGCAAGTATGTAGATACATGATATGCTCTTGCTTTAATTGTACACTACAGTTCTCAGGGGAACACATAAATACATATACATATGTACATATACATATATATATCAATATATATATATATATATATATATGTATCGGAAAGGATTAAATAGCATTCAATTTTAGCTAATATTTCAGAGCGGGAGACTTCGGAAAATTATAACTGCTTTGTGCGGTGATAATTATGAAATAATGGCAAATTACGACTGTGTCATGATCATAAATTTCTAATAAACGATACGAATTTGGTATTAATAATCTCTCTTCAGTACGATGATGCTCGAAATGGTCGATTGCTCCGACATTTTGTAATTAATAAGTAATAGCTATTTATAGAAGCGTCGATTTCATTTATTATGAAGTAGCATATTTTTGCAAATGTAATTGCTATTGGTATGTATATTCTATTATCATAAAAAGAGAAATATGTTTTAATGTGTTATTGTATCTATGTCAACGATTAAATTATTACCTATAATGTCTGATATTTTTCAAAGTTCTCTTTTTGTTACAACGACAGATGACAAGAAAGTAGTCAAAGAAAAACCAACGTAATAAACAATTTATCATGTTTTTAATCAAAGAAAATATACTTTAACCCAATTATACATAAAGAAAGATTTCATATTTATAGACATAGAATATAAATTATTTTAAGTCAACGACTGCTATACTGCTAAGAATTAAATGATGTGTATTGCAGATGCATACTATTATATAATGAAGCGTGACTAGATGTGCCACTGTGTTTTGCCGACTAAATCTCCTTTCATGTGCTTTAACCACGTATCAATTATACATTGTACGGATTCCTATGCCACGTTTCCGAAGCAGGAACTCATAAAAGGCTTTTGAAGTAAAAAAATTAATTAATTCAGATTTGCATGGTTTTTTTTTTAATTTGAATGTAATGTAATGCAATCCAATTCTTCAATCCACCGTTATTTTGTTTTATGACTTTTTAATTTTTTTTATTTGAAATATCTTTATAAAAGGAAATCTTGAAATAAAATTTCAACAAAAATTTCGTTGGAAATATACAAAATAAAATTTTATCACAGCTTAATTTGCAGAAAATTTGTTGTCCACAAAGTTTACTCAAACATGGTAGAATTGCATTGTGTACAGACGATACACACTTTTATCTCTTTCATACTCTTTTTTTAGAATAAAAAAACTTAATACAAACTAAAAAGAAAGATAACAAAATATACTATCAAATATATTATTGTTTGATCAACAATAAATAATGAAATTATTATACAGACGAAAATTGTCATATGTAACCCTTGAAAGTCATATGTAACTCTTAAAGAAAACTCTTGACAGCAAATAAAACGAAAGCGGCAGTGAAGATTACTTTTTGATGGATGACCGGAGACGACTCTTGCATGTCATTAGACGAGTGAAGATACTAGCAGCAACCTAATTAATTCGGTACTGTGATGTGCTCCATTCGCCGCTATTGTTTTGTGTGTGTATAATAATTATATGAATAACGCGTATTCTGTGTGTAGTAGGAAATCGCAAATTAATTCCAAAATATTATTAAAGAGAAGGTTGCAAGAATAAAATACGATTCAATAGAGAGCACTGTGATATTTTCCAATTTCATCTTCATGTTTCATCTGTTAATTTACGTTAATATGTTACAGACCATTTTTATGCAAATATGACGTATTCAAGAAAGAGAGAGAGAGAGAGAGAGAGAGAGAGAGAGAGAGAGAGAGAAGTTTATATAGTTTATATAGTTTACTTTTAGCTTATGACACACATATTGAATTGAACACCACATATA